TCTGCAGGCGACAGGGGACCGCGAAGGCAGGAGGGCGGGGCGGGAGGCTGGGCGGGAGACCAGCGAGGTGGGGCGCTGGCGGCAGGGGGACTGCGCTCAGCGAGGCCCTCGGCCCCCGCCCTGGCCCACTCTGTGTCCGTAGGGAACATGTTGGCCGTGCACTTTGACGAACCCGGAGGACCAGAAAACCTCTACCTGAAGGAGGTGCCGAAGCCGAGCCCGGGGGAGGGCGAAGTCCTCCTAAAGGTGGCGGCCAGCGCCCTGAACCGGGCGGACTTAGTCCAGGTACCCGGGGGCCAGCCGCGACTGGCGCAGGGCGGGACTGCAGCCTCCCTCACCGCAGCCTTCGGCAAACATTGACCAGACGGATGAAGGCGTGACCTAGGGCACTGTTAGTAATACTTTGCAAGACAAGTGTGCTGGGGGCTCTGAGACCTAAGCCCAGTTAGTCCCCTTCCTTTAACAAAACAAAATAAGGTGGTATTTGCAAAACAGAATTCACGCTGTGTTAGTCCATGGTCTGCTCCGGCCTCCCTATAAAGAGAAGGGAATTACCATTTGCAAAGGGTGTGGGGGGCGGGGAGGGACACTGCCGCTATCTCATTTACTCCTCTGGCCACGCTGTTTCCCATTTCTATTCTACAGAAAAAGAGACTGAAGGTTAGAGGTTAAGCAATAAGCCCAAGGCCACAACTCTAGCAATCAGAGGAGCTGTGATTCAAGCTGAGGGGTTTATGGCTCCAAAGTTTAACTCTTTCTACTCTGAGGGTCGCAGAGTTGGCAGGGGACAGTACTCCAAGAATTTTCTTCTGTCTGATATTGACTCACTAAACTGGGCCAGCTGCATCGGTTGGGGCCATTCAGACATGTGCATCAGAATCACCTGGGACACTTTTTCAAAATAAATGTGGGCCCAGGCAAGTGTATTTTGAAAAAGCTCTTCAGGTGGTTCTGGTACATCCCTCTGGTCGAAATTGTCTGCGAACTGAAATGAGTGTACAGACCCTGACACTTGATATATACGAACCATCATTAAGAGTCCACGGTTTTGTTCCTAATCTCATTGCTAATTTACTTTTCGACCTTGAGCCTGGCATCAGGTTCGCCATTTGTAAGACAAAGGGTTTATAGAGGTAAATAGCAAAGGACCCTACCAGGTATGACATCCGCTAATTATGTTAGCTGCAGTCTCTTATTTGAATAAAACAAACTACTTTTCTTCTCCTTTTTCCTGTGTTTAAAAAACCTGACTTCATCCTGAATTTTCTGAGAAAAAGAGGGGCATATTTGAAGGGGGGTCAGAGATGGTGACACACAGATTTCTGATGATGCTTACCACTTAGTGTACCTCTTTCTCTGCAGAGACAAGGCCAGTATGCCCCGCCCCCAGGAGCCAGGACCATTTTGGGACTCGAGGCATCTGGACACGTGGCAGAGCTGGGGCCTGGCTGCCGGGGGCACTGGAAGATTGGGGACCCAGCCATGGCTCTGCTGCCCGGTGGGGGCCAGGCTCAGTATGTCACCATCCCCGAAGGGCTCCTCATGCCTATCCCAGAGGGACTGTCCCTGACCCAGGCTGCAGCCATCCCGGGGGCCTGGCTCACTGCCTTCCAGCTGTTACATCTCGTGGGTGAGGAGACCCCTGTGCTCACTCCAAACAGTGTGGCTCAACTCCATGAATCAGCCACCTCAAACACCAGCAGTCAGCTTCAGCCTGGCAACTTAGCCACACCCAGCCCCAGCACCCTACTGTACCCCCAGTAGTGTCAGGTCCTCAAACCATGTTAGAATGGTTTGATGTTGAGGCTGAGCATCATGGTTAACAGAGAGAAGGCCTGGGAAACACTGGACAGGAGGCCTGTGTACATCTTAGCACTGGAGGCCCAGTAGCAGCCCCAGCTTCTTAAAATCATGCCGAACTGCTCTCTGGAGGCCCCAGTGTAACAGAAGGGGTCAGTCAGTCAACTCGTTTACTCCTCCCCAATCCCACTGAGGCCAGTCAAGA